CATGAAGGACGTTCTCATGCTGGGTATGATACCGGAATAAATGTGACTAAGGTCAGTCCTTCTTGTTTTATGAACAGAATTCTTAAGGAAGTTTGGGTTGAAATATATTGCAAAGTAACTAATAATATATTATCCCCTAACAAGAAGATATCCTCTCTAAAAGCAGCGTGATTTCCCCCACATTAAATCAATGCAGGTTTCCAAGTATGGACGGGGACAATGACAGTCCTCGGAGCCTCTTCCTTCGAGCTACACACAGAGTGGTCCAGAGATGAGACAGAAGGTCAGGCAAAGCCACTAGGGGTAAACCTGAAGCTACTCTCCATTCATTTGTGACGCTGCCCTGTAAACACACCCGGACCACTTGACTCAATGTCACGTGCATTAATAATGCAGAGATCTTTACACCGGCGGGTGGAGAAAATTCGTCCTGAGTGGTTCCGTTACTACAGTATACACATAGTCAAAAGGCTTCAGAACATCATTGCTACTGATGGGGAGAGTGTAGGCAGTATAGAATCGGGCCCTGGGCTTGCTAATCACTTCCATAACAGAGCAGGTCAGCCTCGGGCCCCAGCAACTGTGGAGCCACCGAAAGTCTCCCTGTGGCTACATCTTCCATCTACTTCACACACACAACAGAACCTAAGGCCAATCTACGATGATTTCTACCCTTTCAGCCTCTTTTGCCTTCTCTAGCCTCTTTCAAACTTTTTAAAGTCAAACCATACGAATTTTCAAAGCATTCATTCCCGAGCACATCTTTACAGTGGTTACTCAATTGCAGGGATACTAGACATTATAGTGGCTGCCGGATATAGCAAAAATGGATGCAAATAAGCCTGTGATGCCCTAAATATTTTATCTATAAATATTCTTCAAGAAGATTATAAGCATTTTAGACCTAGGAAAGAAATAAATGATAAAAGTATCTCTTATAACACCCAGGATTAAGCTTGTTGTGAAAGAATAACATTCAAGCAAGCAGGAACAGAAACACTGGTCTATCAAAGGGGTTTTTGGTGACAAGGCTCAAACATAGGGTCTCGTCAATGCTGAGTTACACCTCTGGCCCTATCGCTGAGTCAGCAATATTACTGCTGGAATATATCATTCTCATGTATATACATACATGTTAAATATATAAAAGAAAAATGTAGATATGCTATTATTATTTTGACTATGTACATAGTATATAATATATTTTAGAAATAATTATAAAACTCCAAATTATTCATTAGTGCTCATCACAGGGCTGACAAAGCAATCCACAGCACATCATAAAATAGGATAAGACCCAGCTGCAAGAGGAGAACGAGCTAGGTCACTAGGACCGATGGGAAACACCTCCAAAATGAATTAAGGATGAAAGGAAGTTATTTTTGTATACAGATATCAAAATATTTGACTTTGAAATTCCAAAAGAATGCATAAGACACCTCTGAGAAACAGACTATGCCTAGAAGGTAGCTGTGCTGTCGGAATTATGTTTGCCACTTGGATTTGCTACTTTGTAAAACAACACAAAACTATATGCGATATTTTGGGCATAGTCTGGGAGGATCCACATGCTCCCTGTAGAAGTGTGAAAGTCAGTGTCTCTCCAGAGTCTTCTACAAGGAGAAAAGAGCCGACCAGCTAAAGAGAAGGCAAGCCTCCCCCACTGTCCAGGAGACAGGCAGGTCACTAAGAGCCCATCCTCAGCTAACCCTCTGTGGGGCCGGGCTTCACAAGTGACGAGAAATCTTAATTTCAATTTGTATAGAGCTACATAATCAATCTCTGAAATCCAAGTTTGAAAGAAATGCAGAGACATTCCTTCCTAAATGATCCAAAGAAAACTAAATGTTTCCCCAGTGCTATTTATCACATAACTACATTACCAAAGGAAAATACTTTCCAATTTAAAGTATAGGTCCTGCCAGTCCTCTGAATCCCATAAGAACCAGAAAGACCATTTAGCACTCCAAGGGGCTTCCTTTCTCTCTTTTCACTCTTGTTTTGGTAAGTCTAAACATACTAAACAACTCATTTTTATAATAAAGCCGCTGTGAACTCTAAATTCAAACTTTCTTAAGGATAAGACTTTCATTTATATTTACTCTGTCAAAAAAAAATTATCTCCAGCTCTACTGCAGGGGTGAGGACAAAATGAAATGGCTCCAGAAATCATGATTCTGATTTTCTTGCTCTTTAACCTTGAGGCAGGAGGTAGAAAGCTATTTCAGCCAGCATCACAACAAATTTCAAATTGAATTAACAACAATCCTTATAGTCACTTGGGTTTGTCAAAAGGTGGTGATTCCACAGGCATGTATTAAAGTTTGTTTATTTATATATTCACGTTATTCCTGCATTTCTTTCCTGGATTTGCTGATTGCTGCAGAAAGCAAAGACAAACAGGAATTTGGAAAAACCCAATATCTGCTTAGCCAGACCTTCCCCCAGTCTGTTCGACTCTATATAAGCATTCTGACAAATTAAAAAAAGGCGGGGGTGATTTCATTTGTGGTTGTGAGGAGAGAAAGCAATTAGGAAAATGAACTATATATGTAGCCCTTGCATTGAGCTGTCTGTGGTACTGAAAAAGGACCCCAAAGCTGACTTGTACCACGCTGTGTTCTGCTCTAAAGCCTCCCCACCACACTATTTTAATCCGAGCACTTCTACCAATGAGTCACCTGAACCATTTTATGTTGCCACATCGTGTATAAACATTTTATCAAAGGTCACACTGAGTCTTGCTTTCCAAGGTTCTCCGTGAAAATGTCAGGGCCTCCACAGGCTTGATTAAGGGATTCTCGTGGACAGACGGTTAGGACATCAGCTAAAATGCTTTTCCTCAGTGCCGTGGAAAAACACACCACGCACCAGAAACTCACCCTGGCTGGCTGTCACTATCAAATCACCATACTAATTTGTCAAAAGGAAGAAACAAAAGCTGTCATTTTTGATGATATCTTACATTCAAGGACAGGCCCCCGAATGACAACACAGCCCCTGTACTTGCCACCTTATCTCAGAGATAAGTCAAAATATTTGGTATTCTTTATAATAAGCTCTGAAGTGTCCATTAGCCTAAAAAAGCTACATGAAAGAAATACACTTCCCATAGTGAGAGAAATAACATTAAAAGGAGGGCAGAGCTACTAATTTTCCATGATGGTCATAATCACACACTCAGTTTCTCTGAGCTTCAGGGCAAAGTATTAAGTTCTTTGGATAAATGAGATGCTTCCTACTTTTTCTGGTTCTTCTTGACCTCCAGCTCAGAGTTTCCACATATATTTATTACTTTCCATTTTGTTAAAATTTTAAGAACTTTAAAAATTACGGTGTATTTAAATTATGTGTCTGTGTGTGGGTATGTGCAGGGACCAGAGGAGACCTGAGGCCCTGGACTCCCTTGGAGCTGAAGCTACAGGCAGCTGTGTGCCACGAGATGTGAGAACTGGGCACCCAAATCAGTTGTCTCCAAGAGCAATATGTGCTCTTGCCTGCTGAGCCAGCCCTCTCACCCATATATACATTAGGGAAGCATTGTATATGAGACTATTAAAAGAGAAAAATCCTCTTTATAAAATAATGACGTTTTGTAAAAGCTGTGTCCAAAATAACTTAGTATTATTACCTAAGTCTCTACCTTGTAGTACACATGGCAGACTTAAGAGCGGCACACAGATCATAAGCCCAACTTTACAACCTAACATTTTGTGATGTTTGTGTTCTGAACAGTAAATAAGTCCACTGCGTGTATTCTCCAGAGGACCAAGCTGTGTCCCAGCTTTCCTCACTTATGCTGAACTGTCTAGTCAACACAGTTAAATATACAAATTAACCAATGAGGGCAATGTTTCAAGCATAAAATAATCAGTGTCTATGCATTTCTGGAATTCTTACACTATATCAAAATTCTAGGACACATATTTAATACTGGGCAGCTTCTCTTATTTCTGAGTGAGGTCAAAAATCTCTCTATAATTCCTTTTCAGTTCATGTTTTTAAGAAGACATTTTGTTCCTCAGGAGAATACAAGTGGCCCTCCACTCTCACCCCATGAATGCTTGTTTAGATGTGTGCTTTGGGGCAGAAGAATCAACACTAGGAAATCTAAAGAGTAATAAAAACCGTAATTGATTGGCAAGGTCTCTCAGCATGGATTAAACAAAACCAAGCTGTTCTCCACACAAAATATTCTAAGTCATTTAGTTCTTAAAAATCTAGAAGAAAATCTCCAAGCAGCATTTTAAGCTTAGCCATATTCATACACCAAAGGTGTCTGTTCGGAGGGGAAACACAGGTTAAGCCCATCTGTATTGCAGGACTCTGGGCTAGCAGCAGGGAGGCTCATCAGGAAGAAGGCCAGAAGAAGCCGAGAAGACAGCACCTGCTTCCAACTTGGGCCTCTTACCTCCAGATCTGGCAAGGATACTCACTTCCTCTGACTGTCACTCTGTGTAAACTAAATCAAAGAATCATTTCTTATCTTCCATTCTTCAAGTCAAAATGACTCAGGCTTAAAGTGTTGCAGAGTACCACGAAAGACTTTTTGGAAGAATCTCAAAATCTCACCGTCATGCGGACTGCACTAAAGATGATTCTGTAAACTGTCCTAATATTAAAATTCAACCCCATGCACCTTAGTCTATCACTACGCACTCCAAATACTCGCTTTTTTACCCTCATGCTCTAAACATACCCCTTCAAAAACACACCTGTCAAAGTTTTAACAAACAAGGAAGCAAAATGAAGTCATTTTTCCTCCTCTCTTGGAGTTAGCTTTATCTTTATTTCATTTGGACAGTCATTAAGATTGAATTCTTCAGCCAGGCATGTTGGCACAGACCTTTGATCCAAGCACTAGGGAGGCAGAGATAGGTAGATCTCTGTGAGTTCGAGATCATCCTGGTCTACAAAGTGAGTTCCAGGGTTACAGAGAGAAACCCTGTCTTGAAAAACCAAAAACCATAATCAAACAAACAAAAAGATCAAATTCTTCTATCTTTACTGTGAATTTAGTAATTACTAATTTGAAGATAGTTTAACTTAAACTGATCATAAACCGCCTAAAAATGCATACAATATTTTATTTTCTAAGGCATCCTACATCTGTAGGTTTCATAGTACTACCAATAACTAATGATAGCTCAACAGTACTCTTAGAAATTCTAAGCTTGAAAATATCAATCTAGTTTTTTTTAATTCTGTAGTTATTTAAAGCCCTGAATTTTAATACTTGCTTGTGTGTGTTGACTGTAGGCTAGAGAAAACAACCGAGACTTTTTTTTTTTAAGTGGGTGATGCCAAACTGAACATACCAAAACAAATGTATTCTTGCACAAGAGCTCATGAGGGCCATGAAGTGATAGTTAACATGTAACGATTGTAACCAGTGAACTAAATTAGTAGCTATACACACTTAATGAACTAAATAAGACACTGGAAAATGTGCTAAAGAGAAGGGACAGTGCTTTTCTCACGTTGGTGTGGCCTAGCAATACCGTGAACTTATTTTCTTATGTTAGAATTATAGGCAATACCTAGGGTCACGGACTCCGCTAAGGACGTTCTCCTTAAGAAAAGGTGTATCAAGAAAGGACACCTTGCTACCCAGATTCTGGATAGTGTGCATCGCTCCTTTAAAAAAAACATGTAACTGATGGAAGTGGATCCACCTAAAGAAGTTGAGGGAAATCTTAAGACTACCAAATACCTCTCAGAAAGGTCTGCCTGTTTATATGCTGTGTTGATGTTTTTTTTTTTTTTTTTTTTAACTTTCTGCACGGCAGGTCCTGACATAACACAGTGTGTGTCTTCTTGTACCTCAAGCAAGGTCACAGCGGCTTGGAAATGGCCCCTGCTGTCCTGTTTTCCTTCCCCCTACTCTGTCTGCATTGCTTTGGGTCATTCAAAAAACATCGGAGCCTGTGTTACCTGTATTTCCCTGGCGTGGTACACGATGATCAGACCGAGCAGGATGATCGTGGAGAGACTGATAAGGCATTTCAGAGCTAATGAATACAGCGACGCCTGCAACACAGTTAGATGGAACACTTTAAGAGAGAAGCACTTTTCAACCACCTTCCAGGCCATAGGAGTCAGCTCCGAGCACGTGGACCTGAACTCAAGGTAGGGGACGCGGGTGGGGGGCAATCAGCCTTGGCTCTGAGATGCAGATAATCTGGCCTCAAAGCCAAGTGAGAGGAGCCAGGAACAAGGGAAAGCTCAGAGCTTGGCTGTGGGGTCGGCACCACCAAGGACTAAAACAAGGCACCTGACTCGCTAAAGGATAGAGAAGTTTCTCCGGAGTTTAAGCGCTTTAGGTTGAAAGGTGCCTCCGAAACTTGAGCACCCATAGAGGAGCACGCGTGCTTTCCCTACGGACTCCAGGAGCCACTTATTAACAAGCCTGGATGCGGTGGACTCTCAGCACCCGGAGAACTTTCCTCTCCGGGTTGCCCAGCAGACTATGGCTGTGCGTCCTAGCTGCTTCTGCTGCTCCGATGGGCACTCTGATGTTACCGGGGACACTTGCGACCCTGTAGGCAGGGGTTTCCCGACGGCGCCCATCCCTACCACCTGGCTCCCACTCCGGGAGGGTACTCGGGGGCTAAAGCCCGTACCTTGTCGTAGGCGCCCCACGACAGCTCGGTCTCGATGACCATGACCACGATGCCGAACATGCCGAAGATGAGCGCATAGTCGCTGAGCCGCTTGCGCTTCTCAAACAGGGCGCGCCGGTGGCCCAGCTTGTAGCCGATGTTCTGGTTCTTCTTTTTGCTGGACTTGGTACCGCTGCTGCTGCCATGCCCGCTGCCGCCGCCACCGCCGCCTCCGGTGCTGCCTCCGCCGCCAGTTCCGTAGAGCGCCAGGTTGTTGGAATTGTTATGCTCCGGCTTAGACACCACGATCTCCGGGGCTGAGGAAGAGGCGGCGGCGGCAGCAGACGGGGAGGACGCACCACCGCCTCCTCCTACGACGGACGCGGGGGGCTGCAGGGGCTGAGCCTCGGAGTCCATCTCGTGCAGGTTCCGGCGGGACGAGCTCAAGTTGCTGAGGGGACGCATGACGCCCCCGTTGTACCTGCAGCTGCTCATGGCTATTTCGGTGAAGGGGTTGCTCTCGCGGCGCGCCTGGGGTTGGTGATGCTGGTGGTGCGCCGGGTGCGGGTGGTGGTGGTGGTGGTGCGAGAGCGGGGGCCCGGAGCCCAGGCTGCCCAGGCTGCCTGTGGGGCTGGCGGCGGGCTGCAGGCTGTGGCACTGGTGGTACTGGGAGGCGGACGCGGGCTGCTGCGCGTACTGCTGCCGGAGCGCACTGGCATGGCTGGACGGCGTCAGCTCGCTCACATTGAGCTGACTGCCCCGGCGCGACGAGCAGCAGCAGCAGCACGAAGAGCCCGACAGCGGAGAAGAGGTGCGGGTCCGGAAGGCGCCGCCGGGCGAGGAGGTGCGGAGCAGCAGGGACAGGTTATCCCCCGCCCCCGCCCCCGCCGCTGGGGCACCGGAGGAGGCGCAGCTGTTGCACCGGAGGCATGGGCTGCTGCCACCGCTGCCCGGCTGCTGGTGTGCGAGGTGCGGGTGGTGGTGAGGGTGCGGGAGGGGCGCGAAGGGCGCGCACGGCTTGTCCTGGCTCTGTTGCTGCTGCTGGCAATGCAGGTGTGAGGAGCGCGGCGGTGGCGGCGGCTGCTCTGGGAAGAAGCCGTGCTGGAACTGCAATGGGGTTTCCATGTCAGGGCTGTTAAAGCTGCAGGGAGACCAGGCGGTGGTGCACCCTGCGCAATGCGTTATGGTCGGGAGCGGGGACTCCTGCTGCTGGTGCGAGGAAGGGCCCATGCCGGCTCCGGTAGAATCCAGGCGGCGAGTCCGATTGGTTGGGCGCACCAAAACAATGGGCATGACATCACCTGCGGGGACCGAGACTGAGTTTGCGGCGCGCGCGGCTTAGGGGACCGTGTGTGTGTGAGAGAGTGGTTGGGAGGGGAATCTGCAGAATGAAAACCCCGGGGGGCACAGGCCAGCTCCGGCTGGGGTAAGGACACTCGAGGGCAGGGATTCCACCTGCGGATCGCGTGCGTCCGAGACCATGGCTGGGAAGACTGAGCTCCCCCACGCATAGCAGCTGGCTGCAGAGGTGGGAGAGAGAGCGATGCCTCTCTACTTTCACGGCCCCCCGACTGGTGCGGGACACGTTAGCCCGAATGACCTGCCTGGGGCACTGCAGTACGCCTGGCCACTCTGGTCATGGGGCAGGCGCCAGTACGGTGCGAAACCCGAGCCACTCTCCTGCCCTCTCGCCTTGTAGGGCTGCAAGACAGCACCTGCTAGCCCTACTTCCTCTCCCCCATCGTCCTGCCTAGAGTGAGCTGCAGGCTGCTGGCCAAGTAACTGCGGGGGCAAGGCTTTGGGTACGGGGTAAAAAAATAAAAAAAGTTTGGCGACTGCCTATGCGAATGCATCAGCGTTGGGAGAAAGCCAGCGCCGGAAGCCTGACTTGGCCTCTGAGGGATCATATCCAACCCCTAGCAGGGATCTGTCCCTGTCCGCTAGCTCACAGAGTCCCAGATTCGGGACTGGCGGCGCTGTCTCTCTTAGAGGAGAGCATTGCGGCGCGGGTAGGGTTAACCTCGCGACGCCCGGGCAGGGGGAGGAGGGGGCGGGGCCGAAGGAGGGGATCCCCGGCGTCCGGGGAGGAGCCCGCTCGGGTTTCCCGGGTCCCCCTGGCGGGGGCGGAGGGCTTTCCCCACTAGCGCCAGCTCACATTTGCGCGTTCTCCGGAACATGAGGGGCTAGCGCCCCTGGCCGCCGGGTCCGGGGCTCGGGCGCTCAGGCAGTCCAGCAGCCTGAGTGGGTAGGTCCGAGGACTACCTTGGTGCTGCAGACGAGCCTTGTTCCAGGGTCTGGGGGCTGCTCAGCCACCGCAGACCGCCAGCTTCTCTGGTTTTTCTCTTCCTCCAGACCTGCAGTACAGACACAAAGCAAAGGCGGGTCACTAATGCGCAGACGCCAAGCATCTTCCTTGTCGTGGCCAGACTGCAGCGACTGGGCGAAGGGGCCTGATGAACGTTGATTGATGCCAGTAGCCATCTAACTGCCAATTAATGACATCGTGGTGATTCGACTGAACAATCGCTGCCCTTGGACATGGAGTTTCACTAGACTTAGATGTAATGAATAATTATACTCTCTAATAAACCAGTAAAGTTGCACTTTGCATTTTGCCATGGTGTGTCCTTATTGAGCTATACACAAACAAAACGGCAGGAGGTCTTTTTGAGGGCTCTTGATTAATACTCCGTCATTAAGGCTATCATTTGTGTTTCTTTGTGAATTTAAATTCCTGTCTTCCTAAAGGAAAAAAAAAAGATGAAATTGGCCAATAAGATATTTCAATTTTAAATTGTGATTTCAATAGTTTTTATGGTGGAGATTGCTAACAGATTAGATCAAGACATTAAAGCGAAAGCGGATCGCTCTCATTAGGTAATTGGAATTCTCAGCTGGATCCAGTTTCTTGACATTCTACTCAGCAGCTGCCCTAAAGTTGCTTACCAGGTATCGGCTTGAAAGTGTGTGTGTTTGTGCTCGGTGCCATTGAGTGAATAATTTATTTCTGGATATTCTTTGCAAGTGTGCTAAGCAGTTGAGAATTTTCGTGCACACAAGCAAATAGAATGAGAAGGAAAAGGGACAGAATTGCATTTAGAGCTATAATCCTTGACAGGAGATCATGAATAATTGGGGATTGAATTTCTTAATAATTTTGGTTAAGGATTGAATTTTAGTGGCTGAAAAATCAAAGGCATTAATCTTATTATCCAGTGTGATTTTTTTTGTTTTATAGCTTCAAAGTGGGAAACGAATAGTGTTTAGAATGAAGAGATTTGTTGAATTTTGAGGGCAGCTGGTAGTGCACATATGCACTACAGAAAATAATTCCAGTGAAAGAAGGGTGTGGTTGTGCATGCCTGAAACCCTACACCTGGGAGATGGAGGCAGGAGGAACAGAGTTCAAAGCCATCCTCACATACAGAAGGGGTCTGAAGCTAGATATGGTGACATACACAGAAGTACGTTGAATTTAAAGTGAAAGCTTCCATTTGTTCACCCTTCAAATCCACCCAATATGTATTAGTGCACTTTGCAACAAATTGTACAGGCTTCTTTTTCATTGCTCTTTGTTGATGACTGATTGAAACATTTGACTAGTCTTTATCTCTAAATACTTCAAAGAAGTATATCAAAAAATAATATGTTCATGGCCTCCTCGTAAATTTAGAAAAGATTTCATAGACATCTCCCCAACTAGCACAATAGCTGTTACTCGTTTTAAATTATAAGGTTCTAGACTTACTAAAATGTCATCAGGAAAACAAAAGGTGCATCCTTCTGTGTTCAGCATAAGCTGACTTTCTCAAAGACCACACTGAAAGCTTCTCAAGGGCTTCAGAAACAAAAGGGTAAACAATATTGAACCTGTGCTTTCTCTTTCCCTCCTTTACCCCCCTTCCCATGTGTGAGTGTAGACATTGGTTTGGAGTGGGTTACTGAGACATGGAGTCCTCACTTTTCTCAAAGAAGATGTGCAAATTAAAAAAAAAATGAGGAACCTCAGGAACACCAAAACTCAGATTGACCTACTTCGGCATGGTGAATATAAGAGCTCGTAAAATAGTAACGTCAAAGTCATTGTGCGTAGAGAGATGGAGAACAGGCCAATGGGACACTTCCATTAGAGTAAGCTGATCACAGTTAATGATCCCTTGCTAGTACTTGCCTGTGCCTGAAACAGACCGGAAGTCCTGGTGAAACCGTGGACTTAGAAACGCAAGAGCTGTCCCATCTTTAGATGGCCGAACCCCTCTGACAATTGCTATAAGTCACGACAGGTGTCGATTAAGACATCCTTGTTATCAGCGTTCCTCTGGTAGGCAACCTTTCAAAGTTCGCATGCTGATGCTAAAAATACAGTTACTCTGACTTCGTGGGAACCTTTTCCTTATAGCAGTGGTGCTTAGCTTGTATGTCCCGACTCCCAAAGATCATTGGAAAACACAGATATTTACATTATGATTCATAGCAATAGCAAAATAACAGTTATGAAGTAGCAACAAAAATAACTGTATGGTTGGGGGGTCTCTATAACTGTATTAAAGGCCCACACACAGCATTACGAAGGTTGAGACACTGCTCTACAGGAGCAAAGTGAAGCCACTAATGCAGACAGACAGTACTTTTGATGTGGATGGTGATTGACACTCACACCTGCAAGTGAGAGAGAAAGGAGCAGGGGAGGAAGAAGAGGGGGTGCTTAAAGCAGAGACCTGTGGTCTCCACTGAGAAGCTTTCACAGTTAGATTTCTTCCCCCTTCCTTCCATTAAGGCAAGCAAGTGCTGGAATTCCCCTAGATTAACACCAGAGGTCACAGTCACCCACAAAATGCACTTGCAATCTGATCAATTAAGCAGCGTCTCTCCTTTAGCTTCCTTTTTGTTTTTGTTTTTTTTTTCCCTTTTTGGACTATAATCTCTTTTTTTCTTATGCCCTCTTAGAGTGTTTTCTTTTTCCAAAGTTGTCGTATGTCAAGCTGGTAGACAGGCACACACGCTAACATAACCAATCCCTAAACACACAGTCACAGAAAGGGCTTCCCCAGCCGCGGAAACCTGGTTTTAAAAGCTTCACGTTGGTTCTACTCCAGTCTTAGTTTACTCAAATTCCTGTTGTGTTCATTTTTATTATTTTCTTCTATATAGGATTTGTCTGTACTTTCTCACTCATTGTCCATTAAAATGCAGGACTCCCTTGACCTACATATTTGATGTTTATTTCCAGCAGGCAACCAACACAAGAGAGAATATAACATCTGTTTCCTACACTGCATGCTCGGAGCAGAACTTGGAACTAAAAGGTGAACATTTTTTGAGAATTATTTTTTATTGCCTGACTGAGTCAATTGTTTGATGGTACTGAACCCAAAGGCTCTGATGTGATGCTGCCTCTCTGAACTCACTTTTCTTAGCAATAGGTTGAGGGGAACGAGGACAGCAGCAGCTGTTTCCTTAGTACAGCTCAGTTCTCCAGAAAGGTAACAATTCAAAGGTCCACAAAATCTAATTTTAAATCATAAGTTCCCTAGTGTCACACTTAATACATTGTATTTGAGGCAAACACTAAAATTATATTTATGTTTGATGCATGAACACATGCCTGCATCATAATAATAAAACACTAATCACGAATTTTACAAAGGCTAATAAATCATGTTGGGCCAAAGCCATTAATTTAATTAACGCTTCTAATGATTTTTTTTATTCTCTTCAATGCCTTTCTACTATTTCTCAACTTATTAACCTATCTACAAAAGTCTCATAAGTGCTAGCAAAAGACAAAAGGTAAAATATTAATCTTGCTAGCAGAATTGAACTCGGGTTATGTATAAATGGATGAAAAAGGCTGAACTTATTGTGGATTTCTTAATTATATATCCCTTTGCCATTAGAAAGAAAGAAAGGGGGAAGGGGGTGGAAAGGGTGGATCACTGCTTGAATCCCAGTGGCTTGTACAAAATTGTTTCTTATGTACTCTTTTATTTGTATATCACAAAAACCCAGGGAGAAGTCAGAGGTTTAGTTGTCATCTTCATTTTGCAGAGAAGGAGAACACCTGAGATACTGTCTGCTCTACCCAGGGTGATGCTGTTGAGGAACAAGGACAAGCCAGATCGCTTAACAGTCTTTGGGTCTGTGTGGTTGTCATTTTCACATCGTAGGGGTCTTGCTCCACCGCAGAATTAAACACACGGATTTCATTGACTCACTCAAGAATAGATAGTGGTGCCTCTGAATGTTTTCTCACTGGCTCTTTTGTTTCCTGTGATCTTTATCCTCTTGTTGGCTTCATTTGATCAATGAGATAATTTGAGAGAATTTAATCTAAGTGTGGAGGAAATAGAAGTACTTTATCCCTGCTGGTCTTAGGGCCTAATTAAAAATATATTATATTGAGAGATAAAGGAATAGAAGTGCTTTTCTTTTTAAACAAACAACAACATGATTCTGATATGTTCAGCTATTCTCCAAACTCTTTCAGTGACTTTAGTACTATTCTGGGCATTCATTATTTGAGGCGACATCAAGCAAATAAATAAATAAATAAATAAATAAATAAATAAATAAAGATTAATAATAGTATTTCCTGCAATTATGGAGGGTTATTTTGCTTGTTATTATACAGATGAGAAGGAGGAGGCTCTTGGTCTTGCAACTCAAAGGACTTTCCCTATTGTCATACTTGGGCCCACCCCGTGTTTCATTCTTGCTTCCCTTCGTAGCAAACTGATGAAAACCAGAGAAAAAAGACAGACTTTACATGACAAGGAGAGACCTGAGTGTCTCCCAGGTGGGGTAGAGAGCCAGCAAAGTGGAATCAAAGATCATCATTTTAAAATAGCTCTAAATACTGAAGGCACATTAAGTCTCCCCCACCACTTTTCCTTGATCACAGCCCTGCAGATCAAGTCACCTCATGCTATTCAGTAACCCTGGATGTGTCTGCTTTCTCTTTCCTTATTTCCCTTTCATGTATCGAACTTTTACAAATTCCCAGATCCTCTTTCTTTATATTTATCTCCCTTTCTGTAATTATTTGCAAGCTTCCATAATTGTCTTAGCAAAGGAGAGGGTTGAGGCCTTTCTAGTGCTGCTGTTAAGAAGAAAAAGAACCATGGTCTGCAACACTGAAATCTATGGAACTTTGTCACCAGGAGGAAAGCTCTGATGCTAACACTTGCTCAGGTTCTGCACCCAGTCCTCATCGTGCACAGCCAGATTCTTCTCTAAAATGGATTTTATTTAATGCTGCTGTTGTTTTATGGGTGTAAAAGTGTGAATGAAAAAATAAATAGGAAGGAAAAGATGTAGTAATTCGAATGTAAATGGCTTGCCTAATCTCATAGGGAGTGGCACTGTTAGGAGCTGTAGCTTTGGTGGAGTGGGTCTGGCCTTTTTGCAGGAAGTGGGTTACTGTGGGAGTGAGCTTTAATATTGCCCAGTGAGTCAGTTGATTTCGTGTTTTCTGCAAGATGTATTACTCTCAACTCCAGCACCAAGTCTGCCTGCATGCCACCATACTCCCTGTCATGATGATACTAGATTGAACCTCTGAAACTGTAAGCAAGCCACCCCAATTAAGTGTTTTCTTTATAAGAGTTGCCTTGCTTCATAGCAATAAAAACTCTAAGATAGGAAAGGGAATGACTGTTCCTCCCTACAGTAGAGGGGAAAGTTTATTGTATGGTGGTTTTTTTTTTTCGTTATATGTAATTTTACTATGTTAAAGTGAAAGCCTTTCTTTTTTTGTTTAAACAGAAAAAGGGGAAATGGTGTAGGAGGTCCTTCTGTATTTGTATTGCTTTCATTGGTTGAATAAAGAAACTGCTTTGGCCTTTTGAAAGGGCAGACTTAGATAGGCGGGGAAGGCAGAACAGAATGCTGGGAAGAAGGGAAGTGTGGCAGACACCAAGATTCTCCTGCCTGAGATAGAATCTGGTTAGAATGTTTCCCGATAAGCCATGACCTGGTGGTGATATACAGATTATGAGATATGGGTTAAACTAATATGGGAGAGTTAGCCAATAAGAGGCTAGAAATAATGGGCCAGGCAGTAATTTAATTAATACAATTTCTGTGTGGTTATTTCGGGTATAAGCTAGCCGGGCTGGACTGAACAAAAGGGCCCTGCGCTCCTCACCACAATTGTAGATATGTGAGAGGGCATAGTCAGAGGCAGGGACATCTGAGAGAGTCCAGAGTAGACCATGACAAGGCAGACATGGGCCATGTGGAAGAGAGGGGGAAGGGAAAAGAGAAGGAAGAAAGGGAGCCATGTGCAGCAGCCAAAGGCCAAAGGCCCAAGAGGTGGAGGGTAAGCAAATAAATTATATAGGGAAGAGCCTCTGGGGAAAGGGCAGCCCAGCCCCTGGGCTGGAAAGTTCAGGGTAGAGGGCAGGCTACACAAGCCATACCCTATAATTGTTAGGTACTGGGGGATGTTGGGAGAACCTGGCAGCCATGCTTTGATATGTTAAATAGGCACCTCAATGTTTGTCCTTGGTTTGAAATTTAACAAGGTAGATATTTTATATTTATAAATATGCACAGTTCTCTTGTTTTCATAGCTTGTTTAAAATAATAAAATGTTTGAAAGTAGCTACATTGCATTATTAGGATTGTGGTATGCTTTATACTTGCGGTCTATGTAAAATGGTAGCATTAAAGAGGAGAGATGATACTGACAAGCTCTATTTAGAAATACAATTCCTCTATTTGGTGGAAATTGTTAATATATATCAGAAATGGGTTCGATATGTTATTTATTTTAAGCCTTAGAGAAACTACTAAGAACACATACAAATTAAGGGGAATAACTATGGAATTAGATGTTAGAAAATATCAACTTAATTCAGGGAAATAGGAAGGAAAAACTCAAAAATCTATACAACATATATAATGTTAAAAATGTCACAAGTACATATTCCTTTGATAAAACACCCTGAGTAAAGTTGCATAGGGGAGAAAGGATTTTTTTTAGTTTCACAATTCCAGGTGATGGCTCATCATTAGGGAGAAGCCGAAGCAGTAGGAACTTGAAGCAGCTAGTGACGTCCATAATTAAGAGCACAGAGAGAATGAAGTTCATGCATACTGTTACTTGCTCCCTGTGATCACCATTATAGTGTTCAGAATTCCCTGCTAGGGAATGGTACCACCCACAGTAGAAATGTTCTTAACATCATCAAGCTATTTCCCAACAGAAATGCTGCAAGTCAACGTGCCCTAGACAAATCTTCATTTAGACACTTCTCAGATGATTTGATATTATGTCACATTGACAAAGCTATCCATCACACTTATGCAATCACATTAATAACAATGTCAAATACAAAAGAATTAAACAAATTAAAAGCAAAGTGGTTATCGAGAACTTATAAAGATACAACTATAACCTCTCTTCTATAGATAGACATTACAGAAATACAAGTAAGCTGAAAGCTCAAGGATATGCTATATAAACAACTATAAAATAAACTAAGTGGCTTTAGAGTAATAATCAAAATGAAATTTTCATGTATATACATATGTAGAAAAGCCAATTGTATAATGCAGTGTCAAGTTATTTAAGAAAATAAAACAATTACAAATTCATACGGGTGTAACAACGAATTCTAAGAGAGTGAGGCAAGATTGAAATAACTGAAAAGACAACCACGTAATTCAACAGTGACAGGCAGGTTTTGTAGCCATGAGACATGTAACTAAGAGGAAGTCTTCAGGCCTCTGGAGCTATAGTTACAGGTGGTGCTGAGCCACCTGACCTGGTCATAGGAACAGAATCAGGTCCTCTGGGAGAGTTGCATGCACTCTTACTGCTGAGCCGTTTCTACAGAAACATGGTATTGAAATTATTGTCCTTGTTTCAACTGAAGAGATAGGCATTATTGTCAGTCTGCTTGGATGGCTTGAACCCTCTACCCACACCATACCCTCAGAATATACCATGAGGCCCTACAAATATTACATGTTTTAGTTGGATCACAGAATACTCATTTATAATAACAGCTGCTTTTAATTTATTTCTATATGCACAGTTCTAATTTAATGTTTACTAGAGATGAAAAATGTATCTTAGTCACTAAATACATCTAAGAATTCGACTATATAGCACTCTCTTATAAATAACCTTGGTTTCCAGAATTTAACCAAACACTAAGAAGAAACTAGAGCTCTTAGGAGTGCAAATTCAAGTCAGGAAATCTGTGGTGGTTACTCCTAAGTGAGCCTTGGGCTTTCTGTAATCCTAATTGATTTTCTGACCCACTGCATATCAAAAGCTTAGAATAAAGCCAAGACA